TGTATATATATATATATACACATGTATGTATGTAGGTAGGTCGGCAGGTAGGTAGGTATGTATGTATGTATGTAAGTATGTATGTATGCGTGTATGTATGTATGTATGCAGGCATGCATGCATGCATGCATGCATGTATGTATGTATGTGTATATATATACTAGAACCATCGCCCGCGCTTCGCGCGCGCTCAGGTTCTAGTTGAGGTCACCGCTCAGGTGCGATGCCCGCGACGATTCTTACCACGAAGACGGCGGCGTGCACTGCAAGCCACGTGTTCTGGAAGCGCCATGTTCCGGAGGAACGTTCCCGGAGCATGGGGCGCCAGAGGCTCCCCCGGTCTTCCACCCTCCCGGACTATCCTGCCGAGGAACTCTTGGGTTGCCTAGGGCCGGTCTTGCGGGCTCCCTGGGGCTCTCTGGGCCCGCCTAGGGCTGTTTGGGAGCGGACCTGGAGGCGCGCTGGGCCGTATTGGAGCGTCGGAAAACCGAAAAAACAAGAAGGCCAAGATCCTCCAATTCCTACGTAAAATGAACGACGTTGGCCTGTTGGGGCCCTCTTGGGGGTGCTCCTGGAGGCGTCTTGAGCCATGTTTGAAACCTCTTGGGAGCGCTTCTTGGGCCAGCTTTGGGCTCTCCAGGACCGCCTCGGGGCGGCGTTGGGCGCTTCTGGAGCTGTTTGGGGGCGGTCTCGGAGGCCTCCTCGGCCGCCTAGAAGCGTCGGACAGCCGCAAAGATCAGAAGGCAAAACCCTTCCAGAACTATTGTAAAACCATCGATGTTTGGCCTGCTGGGTGGGGCCCTCGTGGGAGTGCTCTTGGAAGCGTTTGGAACCATGTTGGAGGACTCTTGGGGGCTGCCTGGGGCCTCCAGGGTCACTGTTGAGGCGGGAGCCCTGGGTGTTCGGTACGCGGTCCCTCTCTTGGGCCCTTCTTGGGCTTGTTTTGGAGCCTTCTTGGGCTGTCGTGGGCGCTTCTTGGGCCAGCCTTGGGCTCTCCGGGGCCGCCTTGGGCTTGTCTTGGGGGCCTCTGGGGCTGCTTGGGGGCGGACCTGGAGACCTCCTGCGCCGTTTTGGAGCTTTGCACAACCGAAAAAATCAGAAGACCAACGTCCTTCCAAAATACTCGGTAAACCATCAATTTTGGCCTCCAGGGGCTCTCATGGGAGTGCTCCTGGAAGCTTCTGGAGCCATGTTGGAGGCCTCCCGAAACCTCGACCACGTGCTTCGGCGACATTGGTCGAAGATGGGAACCAGTCCTGGTGCTGAAACAGCACCAGGGTCCGTCCAGAGCCGCTCGGGAGACGCCCCGAAGCGGCTCTGGAGAGGCCCGGGGGGGTCCCCCATGGCGAGTCGAGGCAGCTGGCCAGAGCCCCCCGGCCTCGTACCCCGGCATATATACAAGTGGCACGTGTGTGCCCAGGCTCATACAACAAGCTGAAGGGGCAGGAGTGACATGCAACAGCGAAGTCGCACTCGAGCGCAAGTGGGGTTGCCACACCTTGCGATGTGTGTACCAGGGCCCCCCAGGAAGCCTCAGGAGGCCCGACTTGGATACCAGAAGAGGCTCCAGGAGGCCCCAGGATTGTGAGTGTTGTGTGTGTGTGTGTGTGTGATGTGTGCTTTGTGTGGTGCGTGCTTTTTGTTTATTGTCGGTGTTGTGTGTGTGTATATGCTATGTTTGTCTAACGTGTGATGTGTTGGGCGTGATTTGTGTCTCTGTGTGTGCATGTAGTTCTGAAGCCCCAGGAGGCCCCAGGAGGCCCCAGGCGGCCTCAGCAGGCCCAGGAGAACTCCAGGAGGCTCCGAGGCGGGGTCTGGGGTACCAGAACAGAAGGTCCAGAAAGCACCAGGAGGCCCCAGGAGGTTCCAGGAGGCCCCCAGGAGGCTCCGAGGAGGGGTCTGGGGCTCGATTTTGGGAGGATTTTTCATGCGAAACCGCCATTCTCTGAGAATCGGGGTCGAATTTATTGAAATTACCAAGTGCTTTTGAAGGTTGTATGTTAAAATGTTGAAATTTCCATGTGTTTTTGGACCCTGACGTCACGATCTGCGTGAGGGGTGCCACCGATGTTCAGAATTTCGAGGATGTCCCGAGCGAAACGGCCAGAAACATCGCGGACGCGTGCGCATTAATCGCCTCTGAGCTCTACTCCCTCAGAGAGGTGCGTATGATAATATATATATATGTACATATATACATACACATATGTATGTCTGTATGTATGTATGTATATATATGTATGTATGTATGTATGTATGTATGTATGTATGTATGTATGTATGTATGTATGTATGTATGTATGTATGTATGTATGTATATATGTGTGTATGTATGTATGTATGCATGTATGTATGTATGTACGTACGTATGTATGTGTGTATGTATGTATGTGTATATATATGTATGTGCATATATATATATATATCGCTATATACACACATATATATGTATGTATATATATATATATATCTTTATATCTATATACATATATATATATATATATATGAACTGCCGCGAGCATCTACCTCGATCGAGAAGAAGAAAAAAGAGGAGAAGGACGAGGAGGAGGAAGACGAGGAGGAAGAGGAAACAAAAGAAAGAAGATTTCGTTGTCGCCGCCGATGTATCACAGATTTTAGTGGTCTTTCGACCACCCGAGGCATCTCCTCGAATTCAGCCTCCAGGAGCCGTTTCCGGTGCCGGGGACCACCGCCGAAAGTCTGGGATGAGGATCGACCTCCCTGGCCGGTGCCACCCCTTCGGAAAGGAAGGAACACGGGGTGGATCGAGGCTCGAGGCATGAGACTCCTAGTTCTTGGGCGCTCTCCGCCCCCTCTGGGCCTTCAGGAAATTCCTCGTCGACGCAGCTGGGTCCACTCTCGAACTTCTGGCCGGACGCAACCCCAGCTGGGTCTCAACGATCCCCAAGCCTATCCAGGAGGTGGAAAAAGAGGCCTGGGACAGGCCCCGTGAAGGCTCCAAGAAACCCACATAAGACCACGACAAACTTCAAAACAATCCCCTACAAGGCCCCCCCTTGAACCCCACACGCTACATAGGACAGGCCGAACCCCCAAGATTGCCCAGCGATCGCGCGCGTTCCGCGAATTCTGTCTTTCACTCTTGCTGCCGCCCTAAGGGGTCGGCGGTGCGGCGTAAGCCAATGAATATGGAAGCGACATGATCGCAGGGGACGGGTTCATGAATGGGAGGATGACTAGGAGGCTGAGGCAGGCAAGGAGGGACGACTGGACTGGGCGCTCCTGGCCGCAGTTCAAAGCCGAGGGCATCGCCTCAGTGCGCAGACAAGCCAACACACCATGATGCGTGTGTGCCTGCTTGCTCTGTTGGGTCCGTCGGCATCTCCCGGATACGCACTCAGCGCTACAGTTTGTAGAGACATGCAATGACACAGAACGCAGAGTGCTGTCGATCACGTGCCATGTGAACCAATGCGCGGGTACATGAGGAAGCGGAGGACGAGGGGGACGAGGCAGAGTCATTGCCCATAGGTATTTCCATGCAGCTCGGCTACAAGAAGGAGAAGGGTAATGGCATGGAGAAGCCGGAGGCCTTCTCCTCTTCCCTTCTCTCTCTCTCTCTTCCTCCCCTAAGCTCCTCCCTTCCTCCTCCCCCTCGTCCTCCTCCTCCTCCTTCTTCTCCTCGTTCCTTCATCCCTTCATCCTCTCCCTCCTTATTCCTGAATCTCCCCTCCTTCTTCCTCCGCCTCATTCGTCCTTCCTCTTCCTCCGTTCATCTTCGTCTTCACCCAGACCCTCCCTCCCTCCTTATTAATACCCTTCCTCCCTCCTCCTCTCATCCCTCCTCCTCGAGGAAGGGGGGGGTCCGAGGCCAGGGAGACGCCCTCTCAGGGCACCACCTCGTCGGCACGTGCCGCCTTGCGCTCGTGGTAGACCTCGACTTTCGAGAACAGGCTCGCGAACAGAGTGGGTGCCTCGCGTGACCTGTCCGAGGCAGAAAACGCGAGGATGATGATGATGAGGCAGAGGAGGATGAGGAGGCGGAGGAGGAGGAGAAGGAGGAGAAGGAGGAGGAGGCGAACCAGGGAGAGAAACACTGTAGGTGGACAGCCGCTATGTGCCTACACCGAACATGGCCAGGCCCGTGCTCCGCTCCGCCAAACATCGGTGTACAAGATGTCCTCCTGGCCTGGCCAGAGGCGCGTACATGCCGACCCTTGGACCAAGGCTGGCCTGGCCAGGGCCGGTGTAGGCGTAAAGCTGGCGCCTCCAGAGTGAAAGAGGACAGCAATGGGGAATAGCTGGAGGAGGAATGAGAGGAGGAAGACGGAAGGTGATGACAACTCCTATGACAAATTCGTGTCGTGACGCCTTACGCGCTGGTTTCTGACACTGCGTGGATGGTGGCTTTCCCGTTAGCGTTCAACCTTGAACGATCGCGGCTTCCCGATAGCGCCGATCGCTCAAAAAGGGCCGATTCCGAGCCACCCGCGGCCTTCAACCTTGAACGTCCACGCCAGGGTCGGCGCCGCGTCAACGTGCCGCAATTACCCGCGCCCTCCTGGCGCCCTCGACGCCACCCCTTTCGTGGGCGGGAGGCTGTCAGGATGGGCAGCAACGAGCGAGGGCGATAGTTTTTTGTTCCACGGCCTGCTGCGAGAAGCGGTCTGCGCGTCGACGGTGGCGTCCGAGCACTCAGAACCTCTGGGCATCGCGAACGACAAACGACGCGACGTTATTTGTGCGGTTTCGACGTCTGGGGGGGCGATCTTCGGGCCCTGGGGCCATCAAGCACGACCCGTCAGGAAAAACTGGTCCCGAGGATGGGTTCAAGAGCTGTGGCGGCCCACGTCGTCCACAAGATACTGATTCTGTCGGGGGTCCAGGCAGAGCCGCTGCCATCGTGTATGATCTCGTCCATGTGGGTCCGCAGCTCATTGGCCACCCACTCGGTCATGATCCGCTGGATCGCCTTGTCGACCTCCTCGAACCCGACGGACTCGCTGACCTCCCTCTTCACCTGGAGCTCGTCGGCCGGGTCCGAGGCGCGCGCGCTCGAGGAGTCCACCGTGGACACGGCGTCGCGAACGCGCATGATGCCCTCCTTGCCTCGCTCGAACTCCTTGATCAGAGCATCACGGGATTCCGAGGGCAGGGCGATCTCCACCTCAGAGGAGGCAGGCGATGCGGAGAGCAGCGTCGTCGTTTCGGCCGAGCCGCGGGGGGGAAATCTAGGAGCACGAACAGTCGTGGGCTTGCATTTAAGGTATAATTCCCTGCGCAGAGAGGATGCTGATGAGGAGGGTGAGAGGCCCTGCGTCTCCGGGGCGGCTGCAAACCACACGCGCGGTTGCTGTTTCCCGCGCCGTTTCCCGCGCTGGGTAATTACATTACTGCCAAGACCACGATTTATTAAGTCATCACCTTGTGTAGCCTGGGCTAGGCTTCTAGTGCAAGCTCGCACAGCAAACGTCGAACAAACCCTGCGCCAACGAACCCCTGCCTGCATGTGCGGGGTGGATGTGGGGCGCCGAAAACTGTGGCACGTGGCTCGTGAGCTGCCGAGGAAATGCGGAGCCAGTCTCAGTAGCAGATATTTATAAGTGTTCGGCAACGCCCACTGATGCCTCATCTCGGACACACGATGGGGAGTCGAAGCGCGTTCTGGAGGGAGGAACAGGACCGGACGAGATGAAACATGGCGTCGAGTTTGGGTCGGGGACGGACTCGAGCAGGCAGAAAAAGGCGAAGGGCACAGCCCTCAACCAGGCGACAGTGACCAGGAACATCAGATCCAGAGGCCCAGGGTTATGTCAAATCTTGGAGAGGGGCAGGAGGAGGATACGAAGGACGAGGCACCCGATGGGAATCGAGACATGTGGAGTGTGGGCCTCTCCTGGTCCATGTGCATTGCGCGCCCGCATGCGCTGGAGCCTTTGTTGGCACTTTCCACGGGGGGGTCGAACTGGGCCATGTCTGGTTTGCGTCCTATATGCGCCCATGCCCACTGGGGCCTCGGCTGGGGTCTCTCTGCCGCGTCAAGGGCTGGAACCACTCTCGATGTGCGCCCACACCCACTGGGACTGCAGACGGGCCTCCCCATGGGAAGTCGAACCGCGTGAGGGCTTGGTCATTCCAGGTCCACGTGAGATGTACCACCGCGCCAGCTGGAGCATTAACTTTGGCTCCCAACGTGATCGACGAGGGGAGGCAAGGACTCAACTTCAACAGGACAATTGGGAACAGGTGCTCAACAGGTGCACATGTGATATTCTTGTCCTTTCTGAGGATCTATCAAATGTCTTGTCGTAATGACTAATTCGCCCTCCTGCTTGTGTGCCTCTTGATGTTCTACACGTTGCTCCCGTTGCGTGTTTCGATAAGTGCACCATCCACCGGAATGGAATGTGGACTGGCTGTGGAACGCATGTGAAGCGCGTGCCGGCGCACACCCATATGCTGGCACATGCAACAGCAATCCTTTGGGCATGTTGTATTTGCGCCATTTCAAGTTGTTCATGATTATGGATGCGCATTCGTAGATCAAAGTGCGTCGGGTGACGTACGTTTTGGGGTACAGTCCAAATGGATATGCACAATAACCCCCCCCCCGAGCCAGGGGCCTTATCGGTGTGATGTGCTACATCGCGAGGGGCCGCTGTCAAACCAACCCGTGTGAACAATCAAAAGCACTGCATGGGGGCATCTTACGATAAATGGTCATTCGGCGAATTATGAAACCGGATGGTCAGCGGACGCACTGCTATACAGTGTGGCTGCACGTTCTGATAGCTGCACGCGCGGGCATCCCGATCATGACTTGTGCCATGTGTGCAGATGTGCATGCCCATATCTGTACACACAAAAAGCCTGCGCCGGCAAACACTTTGAACTCCTGTTGCCGCGGGGGTGAATTATACTACTGGTGTAAATTAGGTTGTGGGAAAACTGCCGTGCAATAGACGTTATGCTATTGTTGTTGAGTTTTGATGTATAAGAAGCGAGTATGGTTGATCCCCCCTCCGTTGCCGATTTCATTTTTCAAGTGAAGTGCCCCTCCCGAAGCTCGCGCCCTGTTGTCCACAACGGGGGAATCTTGCGCCTCAGACGGGGATGCTGACCCTCGAGCTACAACCACGTGTCCCGCCTGATACTTTCGCAGTTCACGCAGGATTCGCGCTCTCGCGTGGGACCCCTTGCAACTTATCCATGCGCCGCGCCCGCGGCACTCAGGAATCGCGCTCCCGCTTCGGACTTCACTATGATTTACTTGGGAGCCGCGCTGTCGCTCGAGACTTCCTCGCGGCTCATGCAACGCGCACGCTTCAGCGACCCGACCGCTCAACCTGGCCGCCTTGGCCCGCCCGCCCGCGCCGCCCGTTAGGGTCCGCCCGCCCGACCCGCCCATCCGATTCAGCAGCTTGTTTTCCGTTCCTAACTCCCCTCCTGTTTATCTCTTGCTATTTCCATCCTCCTCCCTCCCCCTTGCCCCTTCCCTCCTCCCTCTCTTCCTTTCTTTTAAGGGCTGCGCCAATTACACGTGGCAGGTAAGCAAGATAGACCTCGGCAAACACGTGCGACAATTTCATCACATTGCGTACGCGCTATTTTCAATGCGAGCTGCATCATTTAGCGAGGCGGTCTCCCTGGCGGCGGTGTAGCCCCAGCACCCTCGACGGCAGTTCGCGGCCGACGACGACGACGACGACGGAATCCTCATGAAACAGTCTGGAACAGTCTGGGAGACAAGCAGCAGTGAATCCACATGGCGTCGTCAAGGATGCAGCGTCGAACCCCCGTGGAACCGAGCAAGAAGCTTGCAAACTCATGCGGTTTCGTTGACCTGCAATGTCGGAGCCATCGTGGCACCAGGCTGGATCAAGCAGGAACCCTGTAAGGCCATATGGTTTCGCGGACGTGCAGCGTCGTAGCAGTCGTGGGACCAAGCTGGGACCAAGCAGGGGCCATGTGAATTCATGGGACTTCGTGTCATTTGATGCGTCGAACCGACGTGGAGCCAAGGCGGAACCGCCGCCCCCGGACGCTGGACGCTAGAAAGCGACAGGGACCTCGCGATATGGATTCCAGGATCGCGCTCTCGCGGTGTGTTTTGGTGAAATCTGTTGGCACGTCGCGCCCCCAACACTCGGGAATCACTCTCTCGGTCTGGAGCTCGCCACGGTTTACTTGGAAGTCGCGTTGCCGCTGGAAGCTGCCTCGCGATTGCAAGCCTGACGCTTAAACGACATGCCCGCTCGACCCCGCCGGCTGGGCCCGCCCGCCCGATCCGCCCGTCAAGGCCCGCCAGCCCGACCCGCTAGTCCTCTTATACCGCTTGGTTTTCTGATCCTAACCCCCCTCCTGCTAACCTCTGTCGCGCTCCATCCTTCTCCCTCCCCCTTGTCGCTTCCCTCCTCCTTTCCCCTGCTTTAGGGGCTGCGCCGAATACACGTGGCAGGTAGTGACAGTATCCCCAAAGGGGGTATGAACGAAGACGAATGGGGGCGGGTATCGGGGGATTGAGACATACATGTTGACTGACATGCGAGCAGATAAGAACGACTCATCCTAAACTGATTGTCGTTGTTGCTATTGTTTTGTGCTCGAACTCTTTGTTCTACAGCACAAGAACTCTTGGTTCCCCCCCTCCGGTGCCCATCATTTTTTTCGGTCAAAGTGACCCTCCCGTGGCTCGCGCACTGTTTTTCCAAAGGGAGGTCTTGCGCTTCAGACTGGCCACCTGGCTCCCGAAACTACAACAACAACGGCACCCGCCAACTATTTCTTCACAACTTTTTCAAAACCGCGCTCTCGCGAGAAACTTCCTCACAATGTATACAGGAATCGCGATCTCGCGGGGCACTCGGGTGCAACTTATTGAAACGCCGCGCCCCCGACTTTCAGGAATCGCGCTCTCCTTCTGGAATTCGCTACGGTTTCCTTGGGAATCGCACTGTCGCTGGAGAATTCCTCGCGATTCATGCCTGGCTGGCGCTTCAGCGACATGCCCGCAAGACCCCGAAGCCTGGGTCCGCCCGCCCGATCCGCCCGTCTGGTTCTGCCGCTTGTTCTTCTGCTCCTGACCCCCCTCATCTGTTAATTCCTGTCGTGCTCCTTCCTTCTCCCTCCTCATGGTCCCTTCCCTCCTCCCTTCCCATGTTCTAGGGGCTGGGCTAATGACACGTGGCAGGTAATGAAGGTATCACAGCAATGAGGGTGCCCGAAGACGAAGAAGGTGGGTATCCAGGGTGTGGGATATACGTGTTGATGAAAACGCGAGTAGATAAGAACAACCGGTGTTAACGTGGTTGTTGTTGATGGTGTTGTTGCTGCTGCTGGTGTTCTTGCCGTTGTTACCGGTTGTTGTTGCTGTTGTTGCTGCTGTTGTGGAGGCTGTTGCTGCGCAATCCATTCGGTGCAATATATGTGGTGCAAGCAATGTGGCGAAGCGCACTGGATTCAGTGGAATCTATGCGGTGCAACCCTACTGGCGGGGACCCATGACGCGGGCCCCTATGGAACCGGACACATGGCACACACACACACACACACACACACGCACGCACGCACGCACGCACGCACGCACGCACGCACGCACGCACGCACGCACGCACGCACGCACGCACGCACGCACGCACGCACGCACGCACGCACGCACGCACGCACGCACGCACGCACGCACGCACGCACGCACGCACGCACGCACGCACGCACGCACGCACGCACGCACGCACGCACGCACGCACGCACGCACGCACGCACGCACGCACGCACGCACGCACGCACGCACGCACGCACGCACGCACGCACGCACACACGCACACACACACACACACACACACACACACACACACACACACACACACACACACACACACACACACACACACACACACACACACACACACACACACACACACACACACACACACACACACACACACACACACACACACACACACACACACACACACACACACACACACACACACACACACACACACACACACACACACACACACACACACACACACACACACACACACACACAACACACACACACACACACACACACACACACACACACACACACACACACACACACACACACACACACACACACACACACACACACACACACACACACACACACACACACACACACACACACACACACACACACACACACACACACACACACAAATACTCACATACTCACACTCACTCACTCACTCACACAAACACACCGACACCGGGGTATCACCCTATGGGCGGGAGCCCTCTGACCGCGACCCGAAAAGGACGGAACCCTATGAGCGAGACCCAATGGCACCGAACAGATCCGGGGTTAGGACCCTGTCGGGCGGGGTCCTGGGCGTAACCCCATGGGCATGGGCGGAGCCCTGGGACGGGTTCCCATGAGCGGGACACAGGGGCACCCATCAAATTTCGGGTTACCTCTAAAGTATGGGCGAGACCCAAAAGGGTGTGACCCTGTGACGGTGCAAAGTTCTCGGGTGACCGTACCCAGCGTTTTAAGAGACGAAGGAAGACCACCTAGGTGCAAACAAGGATTGGGGAAACACCCGGATATTTGCGTATGTATGTATATATACACACACGAAGCGTGCACGCACATGTACATGTGCTCATGGTATGTCCGTTTGACTGGCACGTATTCAGGGTGCTGTCAATGCCCGCGTAAAAGAACAAGTAATCAGAAACGGCATGCGTAATACCGCTTGTGCTGTCAATCGGGAGCATGAGGACAGCGGCGGCTGTAGATTACCACTGCGGCTCGAACATAAGCGTTGAACGTACTTCAACCAGACATACAAGCTCTTCTCGCGAGCGCGTGCGACCAAGCGTGGCCTTGGACAACACATGGCGGGGCGGGCGTTGCGACCAAATATACGCGGAAGCTCAAGCGGTCAAAGACATCGCACACGAGAGGCAGGAGGAGGCCAGTGAGGGAGGAGGGAGGACGAAAGAGAGGAAGGAAGAGCAAGATGGACACATAGAGACTGAAGCACGGTGCGGAATGACTGTGCGGTGCCTCGGGGCCGAAACAGGAAGGCCCAGCCGAAGAAGGCTGGCAGGCAGAACATCAGGGATCGGCTTGCATCGGCAGGATTGTCCAGATGGCAATTCTGCCGCGGCGAGCAGCAGTGCTGCAGCAGGGACCAGGGCAGAACCCGCAGCAGTGGCTTGCAACTACTCGGTGAAACGTCAGCGTTGCCAGCTCTCAGCGGACACGTTGCGTAGGGACTCGAAGAAGAAATGGCAGGAGCGCGGAGGGGGAATGGCACAAACATGCTGGAGGCACCACGAACTCAAGCAAAACAAAATCGTTGCGTGGACTCCGTGCAGTGGGAAACCACCTCTGGCCAACACGGCATGGCTGAATTTCACGGCGGCGATTGGAAATCCGGGCAATCCGGCCATGACATCATGGCTGGGACGCCGTGACCCTATAGCGGCGACCAGCGATCCCCGTGACGTAGCCAAGATCACTCTCAAAGCGGTTGAGCGCAACACCCTGGTCTATGCATCATTTCTTCAATGCAAGCTCTGTCTGAGCAGTTAATGCAAAATATGTGAGGCGCACGTTCACTTTGACGTTCGACCTGTGAGCCCATGGGCCCAGTCTTGCGGCCGCACTTGGCGCTCCACCTGGTGTATGTGCATGTTTGCACAGATTTACACAACATTGAGTGCAACAAGACCGCCGCTCACGTCGATGTAAGACACACGTGCGAGAGCGAACGTGTTACCAGTTGGGGCCAAGGAGCGTCTGTGATGATGATGCAGCAAGCGTATGTGACACATATACGAGCGGCATGCCATCATGCAAGCAAGATGCCAATGGAACCTCCAATGACCACCCGGCCTCCTCGTCAACATGCTCATCGCTGGGACATGCCACAATTTCTGTGCCCTCCGAGCCTCGACGCCCAACCTCATGGCCGTGAACTGCTCGAATATGGTCCAGATGCGAGTCAAATCAGCTCTCCCCTTCGGGGCAACAGGCTTCCGAGGAGCTTTCTGGAGAGCCACGATCAACATTGCAGAGGTTCGAGAGCCCCTCCCCCCCCGAACTGCAACCCTTCGGAACGACGACCACCCTCTCCGGGCTTGGGGCCCAGAAGCGAAGCCCACGGTGGGTCTGTCCGTAACCTCGCTCGAGCGCCCCCTGGCCGCCCTCCCCCCTCCGTCTCCCCCAAATCCCCCAGAACGCTGGCGGAAGTGCGCGGCAGCGCAAGTGGATACTTTGGCCGGTCGAAGGTGTCGAGAAGGGCCACCATCCGCCTGGTGCGGAGCAGATTTCGCTCGAAGGTCTCTCCGAGGGAGTCGCTGCCCCTCGCGTCAGCCCCAGGAGCCAAGATGCGATACTGGTTATTCACGAAGAAGCACATGTAGAACGCTACCTCGGCCGGGTCGCTTCCGTTCCTTCCCGAAGAAAAATGGGAACTTACCAAATCCTCCCCCGGGGTGCTGACGATATCCCAGAGACGCACCGTAGCTGTCTCATGGATTCCGTCGGCTCCCGAGAGGGGCAGGGTAAGCGTCTCAATTTAAGTTAAAGCATCCTGTCTGCCCACCGCTGCAGAGCCTCTCGCACCGTGCTGAGCCTGGACGACCACGTCCACGACAAAAAATGCGTACAGCTTCTCCGGTATTGGCGCGGTAGCGAATCTACCAAAGCGCATCCTCTGCGGCCATCCCGGGGACAGATCTTGTCATGACCAATGGCGCCGGGGCCGAGGAAGAAGGGCTGCACGAGGTCATGGAAAGTTGGATCCTCGAGCTTGGACGCTTCTCGTGCAAGCTGTTCGAAGTCATCGGATAGCAAATAACTCAGAGTGACCCCTCTCTCCTCGCTCTGCCTTTTTCGAATCTCCGACTCCTTGACCTGGAGGTCGGTCGCTGACCATGCACTAGCCAATAAGCAGCGCCTGGCGGCCATTATGGCGTCTGGCTGCTCTGACTCCACCGCCTTCTCGAGCGCCTTCAAAAGTTGTCGCTCGTGGGATTCGTGGACCGACTGTATCATGCCTCGCTTTCGGACCTGCTCTGCCTCGTACAATTCTTTCCTCTCCTCCTCCAAACGCTTCGTGTGGGCCCACGAGGCGCGATTGGCCCTCTCCGTTTTGAACAAGCCAACAAAAAGGCCGTGGTAGTAGAACCCAACCAAGACGGCTACCACAGCACTGGAGTAAACAGTCTCCGGACTCAGGCCAGGCGTCAGGAGAAGACCGGTGAAGAGCACGTAGGTCGCGAGCAGGTGGATCCACGCCCTGCTCGCGCGGAGCAACGGGAACTTGCTGTAGAACATAGACGCGCAGAAGAAGGAGGCGACGAACAAGGTCTCCGACGGTTCATAGGCTGCGCCGGTATAATTGTAGAGGTAGTGGCCGTCGCCATGCACGACCGAGCCAACTCGCCAATAGTTTGTCAGTCCACCTAGCAGAACGTACGCCACAAAGGATGCGGCATACAGCGTCAACTCCATGGCCTCGGGCGACATGGTCGAACTGAGCTTCCACAGAACAAGGGGCACCTGCGAAAGAATGACCAACATGCCACGCGCGATGAGCACGATCCATGCACCAGTGGGCAAAGATGTGTAATCCCAACCTTCCATTGCTGTGGTCACTGCCGCAAACGAGATGTAGAGCAGAGTGAATAAAACCCACATCGAAAACAACAGACCGCGTGTCTTCTCACTCCCCACTTGCCTGTACGCGCGTTCTACGTCCGGATCCTCGAAACGCAAGTCCCAACCATCCACTATGGTGTAGTCCTCCAGGTGTGTGAAGGTCTGGGCCCGCTGCAACCGGCCAACTGCGGCAACCGAATCACTGTCCTCATGCCAACTCGGCGACGTCATACTGCTGGGGACCCTTTCGCGAAGCCAGCTCGACGCCATCTTGCGCCGAGCCCGAGGGCTGGCCCGCAGCGATCGCGAACAACCGCGGCAGAACAGCGGCTTGACCCCGAGACGCCAGAAGAGGAGCTGCAGGCCGTCCTCCTCTTCCTCCTTCCTCCCCGCTCCCCCCCTCAAGCGAGTCCTGTCTCCCCCTGCCCTTCCCCCTTCCCCTCCCTTCCCTCCTTCCTCCCTCGTCCCCTCCACCCCGCCTTCGCCTTCGAGCTCCTCTTCCCTGTCCTCGCAGTGCCCCTCTCCCTCCTCCCCCCCCCTCTCCCTATCTTGACCTGCCCCTCGGTTGCATCGGGGGCCACTTCGATGCAAACTTGTGTGCACATCTCGTGTAGCCCTACGCGGCTGCGCGAGACCTCTCTCCGCCAGGACATCACCCGACTTCCCAGCGCGCATTCCTCGTCCGATCCCCGGTGTCTGGCCAGTCACCGAGTCGACCACGCCACCCGACCACGCGATCGAATCGCACCTTCAGTCACCGTGCTCCTCACAGGGACTGCGGACCAATCACAGACTGATCACAGGTCTTGGTGATCGCCAATGTTGCGAACAGCAGGTCCAAGTCCCACTAGCACTGCTATGCAGCAAATCGTGTGATCGCCAATCGGATGGTCACCCTCCCATGCAGCAGACGAGGGGTTCATGGCATTGCATCTGCCTGTACCCAACCCTGGGAACGGCAGGGACAAGCGCAACAGGAAGGCATGGGCGGCGGGTGGGGTAAGACCAGATGCGAGGCGGACTCGCCCAGCTTACCCCATCTCCCCTTCCAACCCTGCCCTCTCCGTTCCCCGCCCACCCCATTTTTGTTCCCGCGCTCCCTCCATCCTGTCCACCCTTGCCCCGTCTCCCCTCTCCCATCCATGCACCCATGCCGCCTTTTCCCCCGCTCCCTCTGCCCCATTCCCCCCTTCCTCCGTCCCCCTTCCTGTCTTGCGCGGTCGTGGGTACAAAATGGCGTGCGCATTCGGCCCAAAAGGATCGGCCTCCCTGCGCCTCCCTCCTCCCCCTCCTCCTCCGCCTTCTCTTTGTTCCTTCTTCTTCTATTTCTTCCTCTTTTTCCTCCTCCTCCTCCTCCTCGTCCTCCTCCTCCCCCGACATCTGGCAAAACAAAAGAAGTGCGCACCGGCCCGTGGTCTGGGCAGGCCACAATGCAGATGACGACCCCCGCTCCGTGATCCTTCAAGGTCTGACGGAGGGGGGGGGGGGGTCAGGAGGACGCCCATCATCACCATCATCACCCTCGGCGGAGGGGCCGCATGAGGAGGAGGACGGGGGAGGAAATGGCAGAGGAGAGATGAGATGGAGCGAGGTGCAGCAGGATCGTGTAGGAGGAGGAGGAGGAGGAGGAGGAGGAGGAGGAGGCTCAAGCGCCATTGCCTTCTCGGTCAGGTCCGAGGAGCTAGGGCCCAAACCTCTCCTTTTTGAGCGCCAAGTCCACCAGACGCTCGCCCCACAGATGGGGTGGACTTGGAATCAGACCCAGTCACGCCCCAAGATCTGCCGCCCATATGTGGTTTGCACGTCCTGCGGCGCCTGGCAGTACACTTCCAAGGCCAAGAAGAAAGTCTGGTTCAAGTGCGGAGAACCCTTCCACATCCCCGACGCTGGCGACAAAAGCACCCAGGCCAGTCAGGTGAGCGAGAAGGGGGCGCCGCAGCAGGACCAGGATATGAAGTCCATCCTCACAGCGATCCTTGGGGTGCTCAGTGACGCCCAGAAGCAAGAGCTCGGGCCCGCAGCCCAGTCAGCAGCAGCGCTCGTCACGGAGAAGAAGCCCGCCCCCGCCGTGGCCGCGGTGGCAGCGCTCCAGCGAGTGCGGCAGCACGAGAAGAAGTCACAGAGCTTGGTACCCACGTGCAGGAGTTAGAGACCCAGCTCCAGGCCGCCAAGGACGACCGTGCTAAGGTAACCATGGAGTTACAGGAGGCGCGGCAGCAGTTCGAGGCGGCCAGCCAGCAGGCCACAGCCCAGTGGGGCACCGCCACCGCGGCCGAGAACGCCATGGAGGAGGACCAGGAGGCGAAGCCCAAGGAGGCCCCCGCGGCCGAGCAGCCCAAGGCCAGCGTCCCCGAGCTGCCGCCAGGGCTGCGTGCCGCCGTCAGCGGCCTGCAGGGGGAGGACGCCGAGCAGGCCCAGGCCTTCGTGCAGCAGCTCGAGGCGGCGACCAAGGCGGGGAAGGCTCCACCGCCGAAGCGGCCACCGCCCAAGCGCCAGGGCGCCGCTGGCGGGACAGCAGCCAACGCAGCAGGAGGAGCGGATGACGAGAGCAGGCGTGGCCGCAAGACCGACAAGTCGCCCGTTCCCCACCGCAGCCGCAGTGAGCCCAGGGGCCGTGGGGGGGCTGCAGGCGGGAGCCAGAGGGACTGACCGTCTCCCCGAGCCACCAGCAGGGCGCACGGACGCGCCCAGCAGCCCCCCCGCAGATGGGACACAGCATATTTTCACCAACGACCAGTCGATAGGGAATTTCACTAGTCTCGTCATCAGCCAGTCGGATGACATCTTTAGCCTCAGCGACAGCAGTGAGAGTGACCTTGTCAATTTTGACCCGTCCGTTGTCAGTGTCAGTGCCATGGGAGATGCAGGACGCCAGGATGACCAGGATGGGGGGGGAGAACAAGGAGGGGAGCCTCTCATGCTGTATCTTGCCAACATCACTAGCTGGCACAAGAAGGCCAGGGACTACGTTCAGTCCAGCGATTTTGCGCGGCCGCATGTCATTATGTTTAGTGAGATGCACGTTCAACGAGACAAAGTGCGTGACGTGCATAAACTCATGAAGAAGCAGGGGTACAGGTCCTACGTCTGCCCAGCTGTCAGGACCTCAGCGACGGGTTCACATGGAGGGGTAGGCCTTTTCGTCTTGCGCAGCCTCTGCTCCCACGCCCGCATCATGGGGGCAAAAGGACGTGACCAGCCCCTCTACGGAGGACAAGGGTGGACAGCCTGCCACCTCCGTCTCCGAGGGCATAGCCTGATTTTGGTTTCAACAGATCTTCAAAGTGATGCAGGATATAACGAGTACAATACGCAAGTGACCAGCCAGATCGCCACCTTCCTCAGAGCCCACAAGTTGCCCTTTATCATCGGGGGGGACTGGAACATGACAGGGAAGGAGCTCATGGAAGGGGGCCTCTGGGTGAAGACCATAGGTGGGGTCCTCATCGAGCCGAAGGTAGACTCCACCTGCAACGGGCGGGTGATTGACTTTTACGTGGTGTCTGAGAAGCTAGGTAGGCTCCTGCAGGTCACCCCAGATCGCACAAGTCCATGGAGGCCACATCTTGGGTTACGAGGATAACTGCAAGTCGAAGTTCTCAGCAAGCACAGCACGTGCCCCGAGGAGGCCCCAGATGTCAACGTCCCAGGTGCGGCCCCGCGGCCGTGGGACGAGCTCCAGGTCTTGGCACTCCAGAACTTCCCCAAGGCTCCAGAGGTCCTTCATCCTGTCGCACCAGAGCATGTCGACGAGACCCTCACTCATAGGTTTGCCGTCCTCTCGCAGGCCCTGGAGTGGTGGTGCTCAGTTCCTGAACTCGGAGGGCCAACGCGGGCCCAGCCCTTTCGCCTGGAGAAGCGGGCGGCCTTCAAGCCCAACCCTCCAGAACCAAGGGGGGGGGCCAGAAAGTAGAAGGTGGAGTACCATCCAGCAGAGAGTTCGGGAACGGGATCTTGCCAGGAAGCGTGACCCCACAGGCCCCAGCCATCGCAGGCTCCAGAGGCTTATCGAGGCTACCGTCGTCAACCTAAATTGGGACTCTAACCTCGCGGATGACCAGCAGTGGGCGCTCTGGCACAGCCTGAAGGAGAGGTCCAGCGAGCCTTTCCCTTTGCACGACCTGCTAGAGCAGCAAGTGCAGTTTTACGAGACCCGCGCGCTGAAGCAGGCCCAGGACGGTTTTGCGGACTGGTTGGAGACCAGCATCAAGCGAGGGGGTGGAGCCGCCCACGCCTTCACCAGAGAGATGGAAGTAGAGGTCAACCCCGAAGAGGCAGACAACCTGGTCCTGGAAGAAGAGGTCCTCATGGACCCCAGCGACATCCTTGAGGCAAAAAGCGATTTCTGGCAGCAGTACTGGAACCCACAGAAGATCCAGACCAAGAACCCCATCTCGGCCCCGTGGATCCAGGAGATACGGGAGGAGGCGATGGAGGACAAGGCTCTGGAGGCCCCCTGGACGGAGGAGGAGGTTCTGAAGGCCATCAGATCGTTCCCAGGACACTCAGCCACAGGCATGGACCAGTGGCGTGTACGAGACTTCGCTCGACTCCCAGGCCCAGGGCGCGTCGAGCTCACGAGCATGCTAAACACCATCGAAGAGAAGCAGTCGATGCCCGCCCAGTGCTTAGGGAACCTCGTAGCACCCAAGCCGAAGACCGTGACGGCGGATAGGCCGATCACGCTCACTACCTCGCTCTACAGGCTGCTCATGAGGATGAGGAGGGGGGAGATCGGCAAGTGGGAGGCGGCCAAGGCAGGACACTGGGACGCAGCAATCAAAGGATCCAGCTGTCTGCGCGCAGGCATCGTTTCAGAGCTTTTTGCGGAGGTGGGGACAGAACTTCAGATCAAGGTTGTCGAAGGGCTCTTGGATTTAGAGAAACTCTATGACACCATCCTCGCCCACGTGCTAGCGGCGAAAGCCAAAGAAATGGGGTGCCCAAGTATCTGTCTAAGTTTGGGGATCATGACCCACCTAGCCGTTCGGTATCTCACCGCGGAGATGGGGGTCAGCCAGCCGATCATTCCCCAGCGCAGTATTCTAGCAGGATGCGGCCAAAGCGTGGCTTGGCCGCGAGTTCTTTTGCACGACCTCCTCCATCAGGCGCATCTCAGGTTCAGCCGTCTCACCCTCAGGACCTGGGTGGACGACCTGCGGGCCCGCATGGTCGGCTCGACCACATCCCTGCTCCAGTCCTTCCCCGAGGCTATGAAGTTTATCAAAGCAGGGCTCGTAGATCTTGGGTGCAGGTTATCTCCGAAGTCGGCGCTCCTGTCGAATGACAATGGCATCAGGAACCAGGTTCAGGACTCCTGCAAGCTCCACGGGATCCCCCTGCAGACCAAGCTGGGCACCAGGGACCTCGGGTTGGACTCCACGGTAGGCAAGCGCAGGTACCTAAAGGTTCGCAGGGCTCGGCAGCGTCTTGGGTTCAAGAGGCACAAGAACATTAAGAGGCTCCTGAGGGTGACCAAGAGTGCGCATCGTCTATACCGTGCAGGGGCTCAGCCACAGCTCCATTGGGGACTCGAGGGCCACGGGGTCTCCCCGACAGAGCTCAGCCAGCACAGGAGAGCAGCAGGGGCGGCCCTGGGGACCAGCAAACCAGGAAGCTGTCTCACCGCAGGGCTCCACCAGTCGAAGTTGCCGCCAGAGGCCCTGGACCCCGCCATCTTTCATCGCATCAATCTTCTCGAGATGTGGTTCGAGCTGGTGGAGAGCCAGCCGCACCTCAGGAATGGGATTGAGCTCGCCTGGCCCAAGGTGGTCACCAAGCTCCAGCGGCCCAGGCGGTGGAACAATGTTGTCAGCCATCTCAGCGCGGTGGTGGCCACCCTACTCGACCTGGGGTGGCAGCCCAACTCAGCTTGGGCATGGACAAGCCCATCCGGCCAGGTTTTACGAGTCCGACCTGGGAATCTCCAGGAGCAAGACTATTTCATGTGCAGATTCCAGCAGTTTCTCCACCATCGAGTCTGGAGTGGGGCCCAAGGGGGACACGCAACAGGAGGGGTGCAGGATGGAGTCGATATCAAGAGCTCACGGTGGCAGATCGAGCGGATGTATCGCGACGGGCAGAAGAACCTCGCGAAGGCGCTCAAGGCAGTCGGCGCCTGTTCAGCCTGGAACCCCAGGAGACGTTTCGAGGCAGGCCTAGCAGATGACTCGGTGTGCCCGCTGTGTGGAGACCATCACTGCGATGACTATCACAAGTTCTGGGGGTGTCCGCTCCTGTTCCAGGCCGACCACCCCCTCATTCAGGCAACAGAGGACCTAGTGGACACCGCTCAAGGGGACGACCAGCCAGCATGTCTGTGGCTCCGAGGGCTCATTCCAGCAGGTCTCGCTCTGAAGGCTGTAGAGGACACCACACCTCAGCACCCCGTCCTAGTAGGGACTGGCGCTTTCCTGGACCCTCCCGAGCCGAGGGGCGGTTGGCGCCTCGGTGCGGTGGACGGTTCGGGGGGCGTTTTCTCGTCTGATCCCCGCCTGAGGCGTGTAGGATGGGGTGCAGGGGTCTGGGATGAAGATTTAAACCTCCTTGGCACTCTCCAAGGGAATGTCATAGGGCTCCAGACAATCAATAGGGCGGAGCTCAAAGGGGCCACCGAGCTCCTCAAGCATACCCAGGGGGACCTTATAGTGGTCACCGACTCGGCGTACCTCATCAGTGGGTACCACAGGGGCCCCCGTAGGCGAGCACGTTCCAATCGTAGGCTTTGGGCCGAGCTTTGGAGGATCCTAGGAGCTCGCACGGGCCAGGTTCAGTTCCTGAAAGTGAAGAGTCATGCCACGGACCCTGAGGTCCGCGCCCGTTTTCCAGCTTGGGCCCTGTATGTGAATGAACAGGCCGACGAATTCGCTGGACAGGCTGCCGCCTCTGCCGCCGTGCCCCAGGACCTGGTCGACAGAGTGCTGGCTTTAGACACACTCGCAGAACAGGTCCGAGGGCGATTGGCGGCCGTCCAGATGATGTGGTGGACCCACTACCCAGTGGAGGAAGCTCCCGCCGAGACTAAGAGGGCTCAGCGCAAGGAGCGGAGTGACAATGCCTTCCAGCACCTGCTAGAGGTGACAGCCCACTGGCCCCAGGTCCGTGGCGACCAAGTTTCATGCTCCAGGTGTGGCAGGCAGACCCACAGGAGGTGCTGCGCCCGCTGGCTCAGGCTCCCGTGCCCCGCCGCCAGGCCCGCGGCGGGAGCGAAGGAGCCCACCAGAGCCGCCCTCCCCGCCGCTGGAGGCCCGCCCCCCGTCCATCCTAGCCACCGACCCCACCTCGCCGTGTGCCGTGGGGTCCTCTGGTGTCGGAGGTGTGGGTGCTGGAAGGTTCGGGCCTCCAGGAAATTCAAGGAGCAGTGCACCCCACCCCGTAATAGTCAGGGTGGGGGGCACAAGGCCATTTTGAAGCTCACCAAGGAGCAGCTCCCCCCAGGCCTCAAGGAATGGCCCCGAGGGAGCTCGTGAGCCCCAATAGTCCCCCTAGCGTGTAGGGATCGAGACTGTCCGATGGGGCGAGCGCGCGGAGGAGGAGGAGGAGGAGGAGAGGAGGAGGAGGAGGAGGAGGAGGAGGAGGAGGAGGAGGAGGAGGAGGAGGAGGAGGAGGGGGAAAACTGACGATCAGGGGAGGGGATGGGGAGGGAGGTCATTCTGCCACAAGCGGTCGCCCCGGCGGGCGGCCGTCACGACGGAAGGGCCGACGCAGCTCGCTGCACGGCCACGGTGCCGTGACTTCCGCCCGCCGCCGCCACGGAGGTGCCCTCGACCGTCGCTGGCTCACCGGAGGCTCCAGGGGAGGACGAGAGGCAGGATCGGGGGCCGCGGGCTGACCACGGAGACCGATCCTCGCCAGGCTCATCGCTGGGCCCGGGGTCGGCGCGTAAACACCCGCCTGGCTCGGCCAGGCAGGCACACATCGATTCTGGGCCCAGGATCGGCCCAGACTTACGTCGGGCGTGTCCCCCTACAAAGGGATTTTCGACGAAAAATTAAAAATACGCAAACAATGCCCCCAAATGGCCAGAAAATACCAGAAAAATAATCCCCAGACGATTTTTGTTTTTACTATTTTTTAATACTCCTCCTGTAGAGGGGCGGGCCCGACTTAGCCCAGACCACATCAGTGAGGTGGTCAGTTCACGCCCCCCGACAGGATCAAGACATGCAGAGGCGAGGCCGAGAGAACGACAGCGGTGTTGCCAAGGCCGTCCTCGGCAACAGCACAAGCCGGAAGCCGGCTGGAACGACAACGAAACCAGAACCGACCAACCACGGATCAAGCAAACGCAACCGAGAGGGACGCAACGACGCAATGACGGCATGACAGCCGACCGAATCGAACCGACCGAATGCAGCCGACTGCGACGCAGACCGACCGAGCCGCGGTCACCTTTGGTTGTATGTGCTTTCCCATACCAGCCAGGCAGAGCGGCAGCCAGAAGGTAGAAACGCTGAGCGTAGAGCAAACTAGAGGTACACGCAGACTCGCGGATGATACGCGAAGGGCCCAGAATTCTACCACGCCCGCTTGAAACGGAAGCAAGAAGAGGAGGGGACCAGAGGGGGAGCCAGAGCACAAGGCGGATGGGGGAGCACGAGTGGAAGCGATGAGCCCTACGTAAGCCTTGGACTGGACCGTCGCGTCGCCGCTCAGTGTACGAACCGCAAGTGGGGGGGGGGCTGGCTGTATACGAACTGCTACGGTCGGGGCCTTTGGAACAGCGTGTCGCGCTGCCGTTTCTGGCTCACGGCGCTTCGGCGCGACAAGCTAACCAATTCTTCATTTCCAAGCGTCAACGTTCCGAGATTTTCCGAGCCTCCCGTCCCGCGGAACGGAGCGACACGCTATCCGCTCGCGCAGCACAGAGTGTCGCCAGGGCCGCCGCCGCGACACGCTAAACAAAAGTTCCCGACCGTAGCCTGGGAGGGATGGATGGGGTTGATTGGAAGTGGACGCCCCCCAGCGCGATCCTCAACGGCATCATCAAAACTGAAAGCTCACGCACGGAAGGCAACTTGTTATAACACATACCACTGATCCTGGCTGGCCACAAGCTATCTAGGACAGGGTGGACCGAGGAGGAGGAGGAGGAGGAGGAGGAGGCGTAGGAGGAGGAGTAGTCAGAGGGGAGGACCCTGATGAGCAGGTCGTGATGCCCGCGCTTGGGGGCAAACCAAAAGGATATCGAGGAGGGAGAAGGACAATCGTGAGTTGACGGAGCAGGAAGATAGGGAAGGATGAGGCTGGAGGAATGACGACGTGGAACAACTCATGGCGGACAACGTCCGGCAAGTGCAATGCCTCTTCACTGGGGAACTCCCAGAGAGCGGGTCCTGGCAGGTGCAGCGCCGCAACTTGGAAGAGATGCAGGGCGCACGAGGAGCGCTCCAAGGCCGGAGCCCGGCAAACGAGTTTTGGGCGAGCCGCAGTCCAAGGGCCCGTGCTCTGAGCGGGAGGTAGGGCCCCGCGCGTCGCGGGCGCCGTCTGGGAGTGGGCGGCGACTCGTTTCTCATGGCAACGTGCTTGTCCTCCTCCTCCTCCTCCTCCTCCTCCCTCCCTCCCTCCCTCCCTCCCTCCCTCCCTCCCTCCCTCCTCCTCCTCCTCCCCACACGTCCCCATACTCCTCCTGAGCTGCTCTTCCTCCTCCTACTAATCATCCTCTCCGTTTTTTGTTCGTTCCTTCTTCTTCTTCTTCTTCTTATTCTTCTTCTTATCCTTCTTCGTCGTCCTCTCCCTTCTCCCCTTGACGGGCTCTGGACCCCATACCCAGGTTCGCTTTTGGTCGCCGCGTTCTCATCCCTCTGCCCCCCCACCCCTGCTCCCGTCTCCTGGGGCGCGACGCCTGGAGCTCGTGGGGGGGCGAAGGGGGGGCCGCCCCCCTCGACGGCCCGAGCGCCTCGATGGGATACTGGTTCACGTAGCCGCCGTCGACCAGGAGGGAGCTGCGGATGGTGCCGTCCTCGAGAAGAAGCGGCAGCCAGGAGGGCGAGCGGGCGGACGGGGTGGTGCAGGAACGGCGGGGAAGGGGGGGGGAGGGGGACGAGACGCCGGATGCTGGAGGACGAAGGGGGGAGCGGGGATGGAGGAGGTGGAGGTGGAGGATGGTGATGCTATGATGCTGCTGCTGAAGACGACGACGAAGACGACGACGAGGATGATGATAATGAAGATGATGCTGCTTATACTGACGATGCTGATGCTGCTGCTGCTGCTGCTGATGATGATGATGATGATGACGATGCGGGTGAGGATGATGATGCTGCTGCTGATGATGCTGACGGTGGTAACGATGACGATGACGACGCTGACGATGACGATGTCGATGACAATGGTGATGACGACGATGGTGATGACGATGGTGATGGTGATGGTGATGATGATGCTGATGATGATGATACTGGGGATGCTGATGATGCTGATGGTTGTGGCTGTGATGATGATGATGATGATGATGATGATGATGATGATGATGATGATGATGATGATGGTGGTGGTGGTGGTGATGATGAGAATCAACGGTCGGACATCACAACTTCGTATGATGCCACATGTTGCAGCTCATCCGCTCCCTTCCTACGCCGGCGACCCTCCTCGTCGTCGGCGACGGGGTTTCCACGCAGAGCCGGCAGCGCGGCCCTGGGACAGAAGCGTGACATCGGCGATGGCTGCCGCCCACGCCCTCTCCAGCGCGAGCCGCCATCGAACGTGTACCTCCGCACTGCTCTGGCCTCGCGAGCCGCATCGCGAAACGGCTACGTTGGCCACGTGGCGGAGGCCTGTCTGACTGCGGGCGCCCAAACTTCCGTACGTCTCGAACTTAGCTGCCCCGATACGCAACACGCATCACGTGTCGTACTGATACGGAGCTCAACACATAGGCTGAAACGTACTATTTATAACAGAAAGAATAAGTTAGCGAAGAGTGAGCGCGCACAAGGCGCACAAGAGGGCTTGTGCAGACCGTCTCGGGCGCCTGGGGCCACCTCCGAACGCTCTGGGCCCCCCCCCCAGGCGCTTCCTGGAGGCGACCTGGGCCGTCTGGAATATGGAAACTGTCTTGGCCGAGGGCGGCTGTGAAGCCTCCTGGGGGCAGTTTTGGGGATTCCTGGGGCCTCTTGGGACGGCGTCGGGGATCGTTGGGGGTCGCGTCTGGGGGAAAGCAGGTCCGACGCGATACATTCGCCAAGACGTGGTCAAATGCGTGGAGCCAACACGCAACGTATTGACACGCACGTCTTGAACGCGGGACGTGTTGCGTGTCAAAACGGGCGTATCGAGGCAACTAAGGTCTCGAAGGCGAGGGCCGAGACTCGGCAGCCGTACCGCGTGAGCTTCTCAGGCTCCTCGTTGGCCGCTGCAGGCTGGAGCTCTGGGTGCGGCTCCGTGGCCGCCGTCGGCGTTCGGGACGCTGTGCGGGCACTGCACCGTCACGTCGACTATGATGACGGCGATGGCGATGGCGATGGCGATAGCGATGCTGATGCCGATGCTGATGCTGCTGATGCTGCTGATGCTGCTGGTGCTGCTGATGCTGCTGATGATGATGCTGCTGTTGATGCTGATCAGGATGATAATTACAATGATGATGACAATGATGATGATGATGCTGCTGCTGGCGACGATGCTGATGATGATAATGAAGATGCGGGTAATGCTGATGGTGATGCTGATGATGACGACGATGATGATGATGATGACGATGATGATGATGATGGTGATGACGATGATGATGATGATGATGATGATGATGATGATGATGATGATGATGATGATGGTGGTGACGACAAAGATGGTGGTGGTGGTGAGGAGGAGGAGGAGGACGAGGAGGAGGAGGAGGAGGAGGAGGAGGAGGAGCAGAAGTTGCAGGGTGAGGAGGCGAATGGTGGCCCAGGAGGAGGCAGGAGAGCACGGAGAATGCGAGGGAGGATGGGGAGCAGCTGTAGGAGGGGGAGGAGAGAGGGGGGAGGAGAAGAAGGGAGATGTGGAGGAGCACACATAACTAACCGCAGCATCTCGCTTCGAATGTTGCTCTCAACGTTCTTGCCGCGACAGGAGATTGCATCCCTGCTTTCTTGCACGATCAATGACAGCTCCATACCAGACAGCTGGGGGGGATCGCTGTAATCCCCCTTCTGGCCTATAAGAACCGCCGCCTCGCCAGGAAGGCGACTGCCACAAGTCGCTCTCCCAGCCCTTGGTCTCATCCTGCCAGCCACCGTCTCGCCAACTTCTGTCCCACTTCATTGCTGCCCACGGAGACTTCAGCTGGCTGTCATCGCTGCGCTAATGCTGCTGCTCCCTGCTGCGCCCCAGGGCCCTGCAGTCGTGCCAGACGTCGCCACTGGGTGACGCGGCCTCTGGCTCTGGGTTGGCTGGTCGTGCTCCCATGGTTTCTCGTACTATGCCCGCGACCAGCTCTCGCAACTGTTCTGGATTCAGACTGACCGTGCTGCCTGCGACCGTGCCCTCGGCGTTCGCTGGAGCGGCCGCTGGCGCGGCTCCCTGCGCGTCAAGCTCGGTCGTCGTGCGCCTCTCATGGCTGTGAATTCGGCATCGTCATTTTCTGCCGGCGTCACTCTCGCCGGGGATCGTCACTGCACGCTCGTCAGCATACACGCGGCTGGCCAGGGGCTCTTTTAAGCACCGAGGGCGCCGACCCTCACGGAGTCGCGCCTCGGGCGCCCATGGCTCCCCAGCTGGCCACGTTCCGTTGCCCACTGTGGCAGCAGTGAAACAGCCAACTCTCTATATCTCTCTGGTCACCGGCTAAACGCTTGCCGATCGAACATTCCCTGGATCCGTCTCCATGAGTTAAGCCTGATGCCGAAATTCAAGAGAGATGTCTCACACCGACTTGGACCAAAGCGGGGCTGATTCAGTGCCCACTCCGTCTGAGCATGCTCTTGAAATTGGTGGAGGCGGAACGTCAGCCTGCCAATGACCTCCGCACATGCGGCAATAACTGAAACGAGCGTCATTCTGCGCATAAGACCCTCCGCATCTCCAGCTCTGGGGCTGGCTGGTCGCTGGTGGTGCTTTCGGCTGCTTCTCGATCCCTTGCCGCCCTTTCTTCCACCTCTTCTGACCCTCCGACGGAGCTTGGGGCGCCTTCGAAAACATACCGAAAACCGCGGAACGCTGGAGAAACCGAAAACACCCGAAAGCCTCCCGCGAGCATCCGAGAACCTCGACGTGTTGTCGGCATCGCCACCGCCGCCGCCGTCGTCCCCGTCGGCGTCGCCGTTGGTTTTCGGGCCAGGCTCTAGCAGACCAAGAACCAGCCGAAACCTTCGAAACGATAACGCCGACGCTGACGACGACGTTCTCGTCCCCGCCGTCGCCTCGTCGTCGTCGTCGTCGTCGTCGTTGTCGTCGTCGTCGTCGTCGTCGTCGTCGTCGTCGTCGTCGCGTGGCAGCGGCCAGTGGCCAAAGCGCGCGGCGTCCTCGGGTCGCCTCTCCTGGTGCGGCAGCGGCGGCACAAAGCCCACCAGACCTCGGCGCGGTCCGCGATCCTCCTCCTCCTCCTCCTCCTTCTTCTCCTCCTCAGCCTCCTCCTCCCCCTCCCCCTTCCTGTCCTCCCACTCTTTCCTCCTCCCCCTCCTCATCATCCTCCTCCCCCTCCTCCTCATCCTCCTCCTCCTCCTCCTCCTCCTTTTCCTCCCCCTCCTCCTCCTCCTTCTCCTCCTTCTCCTCCTCCTCCTCCTCCTCCTAATCCTCTCTCCTTCTTCCGGCGGGGGGCAGTGGAAGGCAGATGTCCGCGATGCTCTGCAGCAGGGACGGCGCTCCACTCACCGATGCCGCTCGAGAACTCACGCAGTGGTCTTCGGCTCCGGCGCAGGCCTCGCGCGCACGCCGCGGTGGGGCCCTCCTCTGCGGGCGGCACTGCGCCTGTTCATCCTCGCACGCCAGGCAGCAGCCAGGCCAGCCCAGGGTCGACCTTTCGCGGCGGTGCGCGTCGCTGGGAAGGCCCGCGCCGTGGTGGCGTGGCGGCCCTCGAGGGAGCGCGCGGTTCCCCCGCCTCGTGTGGCAGCCATCCGCGCTCTGGTGGAGCTGGCGCTCTGGCCCGCAGCGCTGCTCTTGCCGTGGCTGGCCAGCAGAGCAGTCCCGCCGCTGGCAACCGACCAGGCCCCCCACCTGGGCCTCGGGCAGCAGCTGCGGAGGAGTCACGCGCCCCGGCGGCACCGCCGCGGGCGCACCTGAGCGGCCGCTGGCGAGCAGGCGGCCGCTGGGCCCCGCGCTGGAGCTCGGGCCCTCGGCGTGCGCTCCCTCGGCAGGCGCAGCCGCCGCGCTCGAGTCCGCTCCGACAGCCGCACTTCCGTCGGGCGCGGCCGCAGCCGAGGGCCGCCAGCGCCGCCATGGCCTGCGAGGCCCTTGCCGTCGTGGGGCTCGCCTCCGCGTTCCTCGGATCGAGCCGCGCGCGCTTGGGAGCCGCTGCCTCCCCTCCGCGGCCTCTGCGGGGACCCGCAGGGCGCGCCCCGCCTGGCCAGGCACTGCTTGCCGTCCGGCAGCTCGTCTGCGTCGTCGTCTCGACCGTGCAGCTCCAGGCCGTCGCAGTACAGCGGCTCGGCCTGCGCGCCGACGCGCTCGACGAGCACCCGAACGAAGTCGGGGAGCTCTGGGCGTTCATGCGTTCTGCGGGGGGGCCAGAGGCGAGAGCTGGCGCTAGCGCCCACGCAGCCACTCCCGAGCTCAGCGGAGCGAGCTCGCGGGGGTGGGCAATCAAGCCCCTTGCTGTCGGCGATCCCTGGGCGATTGGGGGTCGATGTGTCCCCCCCCCTGAGCCTATTCCCCCCTTCAACGTTGCCCCGGACTTCTGCGTCTATCCCCGCCTCCTCCTTGCTCCTCCACCGCCACGCCTCGTGCTCGGATTCAGGCTACTCGAGCTTCTGCAAGAGGGAAGCGCCGCCAACGCGTGTTGCCCTGGCCCATCACGGCCATCCCCCAGGGGCCAGACGGCCAACTCTCGAGCCTGGGTGAGCTCCCCCTCAATCTCCACCGGGCTCTCCACAACTGGAGCTCTGATTGAGAGCGGATCGAGCGCCCATTCCACCGCCCGCCGCCGCAGCCGGCCCAGCCAGCCACAGTCAAAAACCCTAATAAGGACGCGCGGTAAGAACGCAAGACCCTTGGAAGCCGAAGTCGGGAATTTTGGGGCTGCGGATGACGAAAACCCCAGGGACGCAAGAGCAAGGAAGAGCAAGGACGCAAGGGTACCCTGAGCAAAGTCGCGCGTCCTTATCAGGGTTTTTGACTGCACTCCCCCTGCACCTTCCCCCCCCGCGCCGGCCACTCCAGGGGCCTGCGATCCGGCGCGCGGAGGCCGGGCGGGCGCCCCGAGCGGTGGGCTCATGGACGCGCGGACGATGCGCCACAGCGGGCCCTGCCGGGGCGCGGGGCGGGGGTGGCGGGGGCCTCCTCCTACTGCTCCTCCTCCTCCTCCTCCTCCCTCCTCCTCTCCTCCCTGCTCCTCCAGCTCCTCCTCCTCTCCTCCTCCTCCTCCTCCTCCTCCTCCTCCTCCTCCTCCTCCTCCTCCCCCTTCCTCCTCCCCTTCTCCTCCTCCTCCTCCTCCTCCTCCTCTCCTCCTCATCCTCCTCAGCCTCCTCTTCCTGCTCCTCCACCTGCTCCTCCACCTCCTCCAGCTCCTCCTCCTCCTCCTCCGCCGCCTCCTCCTCCTGCTTTTGTCGTGCTGTTTCCCCCCTAGGGGCCCGCCGAAATTCCCGCATCGCGGGCCCACTGATTGCCCTCTCCTGCCGTTGGCAATGCCGGAATGGAATGAATAACAAGGCTGGCTCCACCTCGATTCATTACTTCCCTTCCCTTCCACCTCCTCCTCCTCTCCTCCTCCTCCTCCTCCTCCAATGTTTCCTCTTTCCTCTCCCTACTCCTCTCTCCTCCTCCTCTTCGTCTCCTCCTCTCCTCTCTCTCCTCCCCTCTCTCCTTTCCTCGTCGTCCGAGCGACGCCGCCTCCGCCTCCTCCTGTTCCAGCGGGGTTCCGCCCTCGGCCCTCGAGGGTATCGAGGCGACTAGAGCATCTTGTGCATGCTCTTGGGGCCCGTTGGCCCGTTTTGTGCCCCCCTCGAAGGCCTCTGGAGGCCTCCTGGGGTCAGGATCCGGGGCAGATCTCCGCCGACCCCCGCCTGCCGGGGGCATGTGGCCGTCCGCCTCTCCCTCTCCCCCAGGAGGGGGCGAATGACGCGAGACGCGACGGACTGGTAGCTTACAGCTCGCAAGCAGCGACGAGGATGGAAGGGTGAGGGGGGGGGGGGGGGGGCGCGTCCTCCCGGTGGATCTTCGACTCGAAGTGCACGATGTCTGTGCTCGTGCACGCGAAGGGCACCAACAAGTCCTCGCAGCGCCTGATGCGCCAGTCCCGTCGGGCGCCAGCCGTCCCCGACGACATCGTCGTCGTTCTCGTCGTCGTCGTCGTCGTCGTCGTCGTCGTCGTCGTCGTCGTCATTACCTGTCTTCGTCGGAGGGTAAGGAGGATGAGTCAAAAGACGGAGAAGACGAATAAGTGGGTGGTGGAGAAGAGTGGAGGGGAGGAGGAGACCAGATCACCCAGGAAGAGACGAGGCGTGCGGCCAAGAGCAAGAGATGAAGCGAGGACAAGTGACAATCGCAGTCCTCTGATGGCAGTGCTGTACTGGACACGCCAGAGACAAGCTCACGGATGTGTGAGCTACGCAGGTTGAAGGCCCGCACCCGACCGCGCACGCACTCGCAGGCGAATCTTCGTCAGCTCATCCCTGTGGAGCGACAGCGATTGAATGCAGGGAAATGCGCATCAATTGCGACAGCCGTAGATATCATCTGGGCACCACTCGCATCAGCAAGGAGGTGGGTAATGAAACACACGCGCACATGAGCTGGCACCTTTCAGACAATTGGGGGAACAGGCGGGCAAGCAACAACCGAATTAGAGGGAGGGCCGATGGGGCACTTCAAATAATCGGAAGTATGGTCGCCTCTGGCAGTTTCGCAACCGAGCAAACACGGCTTCAAACCCTGGTTGAAACGTCGGGTAGTGGGCCAGCCATGCACTATTGCACAAGCCCCATTACCAAGAACACTCGCAGGTTACGACGCAAAGGGTCCAGTACCTCAGACGGGGAAGGAACATGGAGGTAGCGATGTTACACTTTGGGGAGTTCCTCGTGCGGACGCGATGAGTTTGAGGGACTCCAGCAATAGACCATACCATATCATAACCACGCTTGAAAGTCATCATGGTGACCTGCAACAAGTAGGGGTTGCCCTGATAGGTCCGCAGGCAACCATCACCGACGAACAGATTTTCTCGAGATCGTGCTCAGCTAGGCAGGAGAACAAGAGGCCACGGCAACGCGACACATGGCGGCGGAATTCACCATCCCGAGACTGTGGGCACGCACCTCGAAGCCTACTCCGCCGAGATAGAAAAATACTTCGCGGGCGGGGAACAACGCGCCGAGGTTTACGCGTCAACTTCTGAAGGCAATTGGTTTTCCTGCTGCAGCACGCGCTTGGAGACATTGTAGAGTTGGCACGGCTGGGAGAGGAGCGACAAGGCATTACCATTATACATAACAGATGAGCGTACAAACCCTTGATGAAGACTTGTGGTAACTTGAACGGACCCTTGATATTTGTTCACCGGTTCCTCGAAAGATAGCTCGCGTCCGTTCGCGCCCAAGTACATCCCATGATGCTTCCGCAACGCAAAAACTTAAGCCGGCGTGCGTGAGGCGCCTTCTCAAGGAGCGTTCCGAGAATCTCGTCTCGGTCGAAGTCGCAATTGAATGCTCTTCCACATTTGTCGTTGTTGAGCATCACCCCACAGGCATAGGTCCCAGTATTCACTTTCTTCAAGAGGGTGGGGGGAGTGGAGATGATGTTGGTGGGATACCGATTGATGTCGTCGGCGAAGTTGGACAGGTAGGACAGCGGGGCAGGATGGGGGCGCGTGATGCAGCGCGTGATGGGGCCGAGGGAAAGTGCGACGATGTGGCCTGAAAGCTTGACTCCTTGCCGAATGCTGCGCCCTTTATGGGCGGGCCCGCCGAATTCGATCCAAAAAGCCATACCATTGCACAGGGCCCTCAGGACTCCGATGATGAAGGGGGGGGCCAGCGCAACCTCGAGGGCCCGCCAGATAAACGCGCGGGCTAGAGATGGAGCGGCGGCGCGGGAATCCAACGGCGCCGCGCCAGCATGCTCACTGCCCAAGCCGGCGTTCCGCATTGCGAGCTGGGCGCCAGCAGATATGACGTTCTCAGTGATGTGGCGGCCTCTCCTGAAGCCGCGCTGCTCCCGCGTTGCAGACAGAGAGGGGGGCTTGGTCAGCCGGCGGGGGTCGTGGGGCAGACGAGGAAATCTTGTTGGTCGAGTCGATCGGGGCTAATGAATGAGCGGGGCTTCTCAGGGGACTTCGTCTGGGCCTCGATGGAGGGGCCAACTTTTTCCCAACCATCCTGTGGTGTGGGGTCCTCGTTTCGAAAAGACAGCGCCCAGCGTTCCTCCTCTCCTCTCCTCTCCTCGCCTCTCCTCCTCCTCCTCCTCCTCCTCCTCCTCCTCCTCCTCCTCCTCCTCCCTCCTCCGCAGTTCGCATGCGCCTCCCCCGCCCAGTACAACGTTTCGTGGCCCCAGAAGGAGCTCCAACGACGGTGCCATTGGCGCAGTCCGCATGCGGCTCCCCCCACCCAGTACAACGCTTCGTGGCTCCATAAGGAGCTCCACAGAAGTTCCCAGTGGCGCAGTCCGCATGCGGTTCCCCCACCCAGTACATCGTTTCGTCGGTCCATAGGGAGCTCCACCGAAGGTCCCAGCGGCGCAGTCCGCATGCGGTTCCCCCGCCTACTACACCGCTTCGTGGTCCCATAGGGAGCTCCACCGAAGGTCCCAGTAGCGCAGTCCGCATGCGGTTCCCCCACCCCAGTACACCGTTTCGTCGGACAAGAGGGGGCTCCACCGTAGGTCACAGTGGCGCACAGTCCGCATGCGGTTCCCCCACCCAGCACGACGCTCCTTGGCCCCAGGGGGAGCTCCACCGAAGGTCCCAGTGGCGCAGTCCGCATGCGGCTCCCCCGCCCAGTACATCGTTTCGTGGCCCCAGAGGGAGCTCCATCGAAGGTTCCAGCGGCGCAGTCCGCATGCGGTTCCCCCACGCAGTACAGCACTTCATGGCCCAAGTGGGAGCTCCACCGAAGTTCCCCGTGGCGCAGTCCGCATGCGGTTCCCCCACCCAGTACAACGCTTCGTGGCCTCATAGGGGCTCCACATAAGGTCCCAGTGGCGCAGTTCGCATGCGGCTCCCCACCCAGTACATCGTTTCGTGGCCCCAGGGGGAGCTCCACCGAAGGTCCCAGTGGCGCAGTCCGCATGCGGTTCCCCCACGCAGTACAGCGCTCCGTGGCCCCAGGGGGAGCTCCACCGAAGGTCACAGTAGCGCAGTCCGCATGCGGTTCCCCCACGCAGTACAGCGCTCCGTGGCCCCAGGGGGAGCTCCACCGTAGGTCACAGTGGCGCAGTTCGCATGCGGTTCCTCCACCCAGTACAACGTTTCGTGGCCCCAGGGGGAGCTCCACCGAAGGTCCCAGTGGCGGAACTCGCATATGGCTCCTGCGCCCAGTGCAAATTTTCGTGGCCCCACCGAAGGTCCCAGTGGCGGAACTCGCATGCGGTGCCCCGGCCCAGCGTTGGGCCTCCTTTGGGCCGTTCGAAAGCCCTCCAGGAGCGATTCTAAGACGATGTCGATTCGGAGTCCCCTTCGGGGCCGATTTTTTGAGGATGTCTCGAGCGAACCAGCCACTTTCAAACATTTGCCAGCGAGGTCCGGGGTGCAGCCGGGAGCCTTATACTGGTGACGTACCCACCCCCTGCGCAATGCGGGACAGGAGTAGCTTAGAAGATTTGACGAGAAGGCGGCGACGTGACATGGACGCGTATACTTCTGCGAGCGGCATTCGGAAGGTTCGCAGGTCTCCAATCAAGGGAAAAACGATGAGTAACGAAGTGAACACCTGAGTCACTAAGGAAGACGCAGGGTCCAAAAGGAGACGGTGGGCAAGGGGATTGAAACGTCGGCGGGGCAACAACATCATGACATGGCCCCCCAGGGACGGCGAGGTCCCGCTCAAGTCTGCGCGGTGCCTCACTCCGCTGGACCCACCAGCAGCCCTCGAAAATGGCGACAATTTCGCAGATCGCAGCCCCCAGATCCGCGTGGGGCCTCACCCCGCTGGACCCACCACCAGCCCGCGAAAGTGGCGACAGCTTCGCAGATCGCGGACGGGGAGGTCCCGCTCAGATCCGCGCGGTGCCTCACTCCGCTGGACCCACCAGCAGCCCTCGAAAATGGCGACAATTTCGACGATCGCAGCCCCCCAGGGACGGGGGGGTCTGGCTCACATCCGCGCGGGGCCTCACTCCGCTGGACCCACCAGTGGCAACAGTTTCGCAGATCGCAGGCCCCCAGGCAAGGCAAGAGAAGACAAGAAGGAGGGGGGGCGGGAGGCGAGAGTCCCCAGGAGGCAGCGATGCGGAGGCGGGAGGCGGGAGGTGGGAGGCGGGAGGAGGTGGAGGAGAAGACGCGACCGCAGCGCTTTATTCAAAACGAATACCCAACCAAGGAGGGTTGGGAAAAGAAACTAACTTCAGAAAAACGGTCCACGCCAGAGGCGCTTCCCGTCATCAGCCACCGTGGCTGCAGCACGTAATGGAGCACCCCAAGGCTCATGCAGCCCTGAAAAGTTCAGAGTTGTAGGGTTCTGAAAGGTTGCAAGCGCCCGGGACATCGGTTTTACAACGATTTCCGGTGATTTCGTAGATTCCCTGGGACTTCCGGGGATTCCCCGGGATTCCCTGGGCGTGTCGCGCGCTTCCTCCAGTAGTGCAGCTGGCAAAACATGGGCCCAAACAGCGCCCAAAAGGGCCGAAGATGCCTCCGAGAAGGCCCAAGAGTGCCCTAATACGCTCAAGATGGCCTCAACACGGCCCAGGAGGTCCCGAAGACGACCCAAGAGTTTTCCACGAGGCGCCCTAACAGGGCCCAAGAGGCAAACATAATCGATGTCCATTGGTTTTTAACGGTGTTCGGCTTCTCGCCCTTTCCGTTCCCGACGCTCAAAGACGGCCCACGAGGCCCCGAAGATCGCCCCAAGACGCGTCCAGGACGGCCTCAGAGGGCCGAAAGACGGCCCCAAGAGATGGGAACCCCGCACCAACATTTCGAGCCCTCGGCCCCGAGGGCCCCCCCAGGGGGCCCCAAGAGGCACCCAAGATGCCCCAAGAGGCCCCTAGAGGCTCCCAAGAGGCCCCAAGAGACTCCCAAGAGGCCCCCAAGAGGCCGCCAAGAGGCCCCGAGAGCGCCCCGAAGAGA